AACCAACATGCAAGAATAAGTGTATCAGTTTGCAAGGAGAATAAACTCGCAGATAATAAAAAGGTTAAAATTCCAAACGTACCCAAAGCACCATTGCTTAGTTTATAAGAATCTGTTTGATCCTGCGCATGGCGTAATTCTCTTAGCCGTTGTTCCTGCTCATCGGCTTTAGCCGACAACTGCTGCACAGATGGATTCTGAGGTTTGTTCTGTAATTTTCGCCTCATTTCAATAAACTGAACCTGCTTTGCTTTAAGTTCTTTTTCTTTAGCTGCAATCTCCTGCTGTTGTCTGGCGGCGAATTCTTTCAGTTCACTAATTGATATTCTATTCCCGCCTAAAAGCTGATACACAGCAAACAAAAAACAAAAACAAAAAAAAATATATGAGATAACAATCTCTGGACAGGTTTAACCTTTTCACTACCAAGATCACGTCAGTTATTCTCCTTACTATCCGCCATACAATTCTCATGATGTAAGTTTGGAGAATTTGGTATTGGATCAACTTGAACCTTTTTTGATACTTTCCTTTACTCTCAACACTTGTCTGCTTGATATTGCATTGATATTGTAAGGAGAAATTATATCTTGGTCTCTTATGGGAGTTCAAGGGTTGATCTGTATCAGCAGAGCCAAGAAGTCTTGTTTTATTCTAAAAGGGCTTCTCTATTTAAAATGCAATGTCAAACAATTTAAAGTTTTTTGTGGGATAAAATTTGATTAAGACAAAAATGAATTTACAAAATGAGTAAATAAGTTGGACAGTATTACTTCAAAAGGCAACAATATTTTCTCTTAAAGGCTCTTGGTTTGATTACAGGACTGATAGAGGCACGGAAATTTTTTTTTGCAGAACGTTAGAACTTATAAGTGTATTATTTACAGGAAGCCTAGGGTGGTTTCAGTATTTACATGAGATCTTACTCAAATTATGGTCTTACGCAAGCAGTGGGCCTTAGGGATTCTCTATGTGAGAGTTGATTTCATTAAATAAATTTCCTATATAAGCTTATGGACCTCTTGGCACTGCTCACAACAGTATAAGTTCAGTTTAAGGTTGGGCTGAATTGAAGATGGCTTAGAACACGGTTTTGTTAAACAACTGCTAAACTTTGCTCGAATACCTGACCCTAAGGGTCAAATTAACAATTCCTATTATTGTTCCATCAATCTTTTTTTTGGGGATGTCTTTCTTACCACATCTCGTGAAAGTGGTGTTTCCTCTTTAAAACCATTAACCCTTTGACTTGTTGATCCTAAATTTGAAAGAGTAAGACAAAGCTTATGACTTTAAACATACTTTGAATGGCCATACAGATGTAGAATTATATGTTGAGAAGTTGAATCTACACACAAGGATTGGTTCTTATTTTAATGACCTTTTGGTGGACAGATGCATAGTTAAGGTCACCTTTATAAGCATTTTACTTTAATTTTTATTATATGCAACAAATGGGTTCCATGTTGCCATGGGTCTGTACAGTTACTGCCAGTAATAGATCACAGCAGACATCACATCAAAATGTTATGGGAACATCAGTGACGCACTCTGCTGCACCTCATGTGCCACTTTTCCAAAACACTTCTCAAAAGACTAATATATATAACTGCAGACAGTACTGTTTTGGCATTCAGTGCAGTGCTGATGCTAGGAAGGAGGTGTAAGCATTAAGTTACCCCGAATGATCCCACATTTGTGGTATCTTCCAAGCCATGCCAGAGGACTTGAACTAGATAAACTAGTGAGGATGCACAATTGTGAGACATGACTCCTCCTAAGTAGAGCGCTCAATTTGGACATGAAAGCAAAGCTTTGTAATGCCAAAGAGCTATATCTAACTGATATATAAGTAGACACCCATTTTCAAAAACATTGCAACTCGAAAAAAAAATACCTGAAGCATATACACCTTTTCTTTTCTCATTTAAAGTGTCTATTTAAGATGGGAAAACAAAAGGCACATATATTTCATGTATATTTTCAATTTTTTTAAATTAACAATAACAGGGAAAACTGGGCTTAAAAAATATATTTTTTCAAAATATTAAGTCTGGATCACATGCTTCCATATATTAAAATTGAGAGGGTGTATTTACTTCAATATCAGAAGTTTATTCATGAGATAGTGTTTCTGGAATTTAGTTTTTTTTAGTCAGGAAAGCATTCAGAAATAAAACATTTCATGGAATGTCTGGCTTAGATAATGAAAAGATGAAAACAAAACAAAACAACAACAAAAAAAAGGAACCTAAAGCACTCAAAGCATTTCATGAAGTAAAATTTAAAAAACAATATGTGAAGTATCAAGTTTTATTCCCACAATGACAAAAGAGGGTCACAAATATGTAACTGATCTGCAGAACTCCGGGTGAATGATACTCAGGGTAATAAATTACATATCTTACCATTAACAGCTTGTGAGTAAGATGGTATCTCCTCCCTTGGTCGCAGGTAAAACTTCACATCTTCCAGATCGCTTCCCCATTCAAGTAAAGTACTGAAGATTGACTCACTATCAGGAACAAGACGTTCTGAGGAAGAAACAAAAAGTAGCTTACATCCTGTCTACAAAACACAAATTAAACTTCAAGGTATTATAGCCTTTTTACAGCAGCATAAAAATAGATAGGTTAAAAAAAATTGTTATTGATCACAAATTTTACCTGCAACTTTTCCTTAATTTGAAAAATTGAATATTAGCTGAAGGAGAGGCTGTATTTATTTAAAACAGGGTGATGTGCTAAAATATTACAATATTTCTAAATTTACAAATAAATGCTTTTCCTATTGTTTATCCAATGAGTCAATCCAATTTTAAGCACATTCCTGTATCTTAATTTAATCATTTTCGATTTGGCAACAGATATTAAAAATATTGAGCGTCATCAACTGGTCAAAATTCATGGATTGATAGCTAGTAGTTGGAAAATGAAGATACAATTTCTTTATAAAAAACAATCTACTGGAGACATTAGTACAAAAATAGAAAATTATTCATAAATATACAAATCTAACCAGTGATTATGTATTCATGAAGAGGTACACAAATTGGCAGAGAGCCACATCGCATTTTGTAAAAAAAGCAGAGTGATATTACTGCAAATGGTGCATGAAAGAGAGTAATGTTGCAAAAGTACCGCCATTTCAATTCTCTATGAAAACTACTTCCAAAAACTGTTACTAGCTTGGTGGAGTTGATTTTAGGTTTATAAAGATATGCATCAATAACACCAAACCTACCACATCCTTGCCACACTTCTATTAGATAGCAATCAGTCTCCTGGATCTGTCGTTGTAACCTTTGCACTATATCTTTGCATTTTGTCACTTGTGTAACAAATATTTCTGCCACTTTCTGCCTTTCATCCAGATAAACCTTGAGTCTCAGCTAGACAGCAAAAAACAGCTTGATAAATACTTGGCATGCAAGGAATGCAAATCTCTAAATTGTGTCAGGAAGAGGGTAATCACAAGAACAAATTTTCAAGTATTGTGGTGAATGTTGTAGTATGTACAATTACAAGAAAAAGTGTTTGTTCTCTAGTCATGTATTTCAAGGGCTGGTTTCAGTGCAAAAGATAGTCAATTCTACCATTGTCAAGCTTAAGAATTGCTTAACATAACAAATTAAGAGCAGAGAAAAGCCTGCTGTGAAGAAACATGCCAAAAAACAACAGAAAGGGTACAGCAAATTAGCATAACTGTCAGGAACTGTAGAGGAATACATTTAATTTAATTACAGAGTGCAACTTTAAATGTTGGCCATGCCATTACTAGGCAAACAACGTCGACAACCGACATTTTTCTTAGGATACTAGCCTCACATAACTGTCATCAAAATGCTACAATGAACGTCATAAAAAATTTATACTTTAAAAGACATGAACCTGCTGTTTCGAATTAACACCTGTGATATATTCTTTCATTAAGAAAAGAAAGGACTTGAAAAACAATGAAAACTGACCCAAAGCAAAGAATTTTGTAAGTGGACTCAAAAGAAATTTCTTTAAATATGGAAAATGCAAAAGTATCCATAAATTTGATTAAACATTACCTTCATGGGCGCTTTACTGACACTTTTACTGCTGCGTAAACTTTCATTAGTACCTTTACGATTGGTCTTAATACACAACATAACTTCTGAGTTGTCTAGTGACAGATAATCTAACAAGTAACTTGTTATAAATGCCAAAAATATTCAGATATTGGCTTTAGCTGGGGCACGATAAATGATGATAAATACAGAGAAACTGTATGTATATAAATAATTTTTTAGGATATTAGTCACTGCATCTGATCAGCTGTAATCAAAGCCGTGATATAGGTTACATTCGTGATGTTGCTTGATTCAAAAAGCGGATCGATTAAATCAATTATAACTTCTTTCAAAATCGTAACATGATTCCAAGTGAAAGTTACATTTTAATGAAAGAATTACTCATTTTAATCAAGTCTCTAGAAAGGCGCCCATAATATCAAAGTCGTCTATGCAACGCGGGAATTCGCGGATAGATGCGAAAACTTTCCTAATATAAAATAGGAGTTTGTTGTATTTCGCAACAACTCTTTAGAACACTCCATCAATCCTCTTGGGAAATCGATCATTTGCATTTCACGTCGATCATCTTGACTTTCTATCGAAAAATTTTAGCGCCGTGTTTTCACGGAATAGCGCCATTTGAGTTGTACCAAATTCATTCAGGCATATCAAAACAAAGAGTATAAAATATCGTCCAATATTCTTCCGTGATCAAATTTCCGGTGGCGGTTTTCTATTAAAGAACAGTGTAACCTAAAATCCTCTGTGATTGTAAAGAGCCACTCATCGATATGATAATAATGTGAACAGAAGTTGCAAAGGAACTTTCAATTACAACAAAAAAGAGCGACAAATATTGCACTTGAAATTTAACTCACCCTTCTTTCCGCTCCGGCCATTTTGTTTACAATCCACAGTGCATCGCGACCACAAAGTTGGAGAACGAAACCATTAGGGGTAGGGACGTGAGACTTTTTTTTCAAGACCCTTTTCTCACCGGACATATTTTCATCTTCTGTGTTATTTAAACACTATAACTTTTGTCCTAAATTAATTTAAAAATTCACTTTGTAAAATAATTCTGGTAAAATTGTTCCCTAAAATTCTCGTTATTATAATCACAGAGAAGTATTTATTTTTTCAATATCCTCTACCCCTCCCTAGTTAGTATGAAACCCACGACTACTTCGCGGGAACTATTCAAAATGGCCACGAAATGTGTTGACGCGACGTTGGAAGCGAGTCTGTAGAAAACATCAAAGCGGTGTCTTTGTCGGCGAACTAACGCGCCAGATGGCTTTAGATCGTGTTGTAGCTCTGGTGGATATGGACTGCTTCTATGTTCAAGTCGAACAAAGACGAAATCCAGAATTGCGAGGCAAACCTTGCGCTGTGGTTCAGTATAAAACATGGAAAGGTGGAGGGTAAGCGAATTTTAAATTTTCTCAATTAAAGATTTCTTTTGATTAAGTATTCCTCGCGTGGTATTTAACCGTGAAATCTGGGAGCCTTTTTGCATCAATACATTGATACATCTGGGCGGCGTTGCGTATTAATTTTTCGATAGATAAGAAATTTGCCTCGAAGTTTCTCGATCGAATTACATAATATGATATGATAGCTTTGACATTTTTTCCATTAGCCTTAACAATATAACAGTATCAATACACAATATAGTACAGATTGAGGTATTTCGCTACCATTTGTTGTGTCTTTTTTTTTGTGTTTGTTTTTTAAGGATTAGCCTTTTATATTAGAACTTAGACAGCGCTCCTTTTGACCACGTTAAGACGGAGTCTGTATTCTGTGCTTCGACTCTAAAGTGGCGTTGTATTGATCCAATTTAGCCAAAAAAGGGCGATTGTTGGACAGTATGGCTGCTTGGCTAATTCACTTCAATACAACTTATCCTTTGATGAGTTCAATGATCAGCTTTTGTGTAGTGTAGTTTTGGCACTAACAACTGAATTGCACACATCAAGTTATTACAGTTTTTATGCAATAACTGAGATACTACAAGTGACCTGATTGGTCAAAAACATATTGTATAACCCTTTAACTCCCAAGATCTCATTAGTGATTCTCCTTACTGTCTGCCAATATAGGTCTTGTGATGTTAGTTTGAAGAAATTGGTATTGGATCAACTTGCAATCCCCTAATTGATATTTTTCTTCACTCTCATCACTTGTCTGCTTGATAATATATTGACATTGTAATGAGAGATTCTTGGTCACTTATGGTAGTTAAGGGTTAAAGCACCGGTAATCCAAAGGAAAATTGAAGTTTATGGAGTTTTATTAAAGCAATAAATGGCACTTTCTATTGGTTAATACTATCATGGTAACAACCCACTTGGGAGAGCAGGAGAAAAGTTTGAACATCACTCACCTTTAGCTCATGATTTTGCTTAACCCTTTAACCTCTAAGAGTGATTAGCAACTAATTTCTCCTATCAGTATCATCCCTAAAACGAACATTGAGGTTATGGGAATAGAGGGAATGATCACCAAGTAAAGAAGCTCAGGATTGTTAAACAAATTCTCCTTGTCAGTACTATAGGAATGTATAGAGAACAGTGTGGAGAAAATGTTTACTGATGTTAGGGTGTAAAGGGCTAAGCAATGCATTTATAAAAAAGAGACACTGTGACAACTCATCATAATTATATGGTTTATTGTTTTTTTTCCTTTTTTTATAAATTTGTGAATCGTCATTATGTGTACGATTAGTGTTAAATTTGTCTAAGTGCGCTCAACCATTTTTTTTGTTTTTCTCTCTGATTATTGTCTCCAGCTTTTTTTTGTCCTGAAGGTAGTGTGGGTTCATTCCCAGACTGTAAGGTAGTGCCCTATTGATGGAGTTTCTTTCCATCATTCTACCTATCTATCTGTGTTAAGGACTATGCTTTCAAGGGTGCTTGTACTCAGTTCCTGTAATTTTAACTACACAATACCAGATAGAACGGGAACCGAATAATTAAAAACTTAATTGAGGATTATACAGCGCACCATATCCAAAGTCATCAGTGTACTATCAACATTAAAATATTTCATGAAGGGCAATAGAAATTGATCTTTTATTTAACAATATTGCTATATGATAAGCTGAATAATAAATTCATTTTGATTAGTCCTCTCTTATGATCTATTATAGCACAGATGCATAAACAACAGCACTGTTAACAAAATAAACAGCATTTTTATTTTTTAAAACAAATAGATTCCATGTTTCAATGGGTCTGTATGATAGTAGATTGCAGAACATCAGATCAATTTATTAGAACATTAGAATTAGAACATCAGTGACCCAATTAGCTGCACTTCATCAGTCACACTTTTAGTTTCTTATTGCATTTTGATGTTATCTGTGATCTATTACTGAACAGAGGCACAGCCACATGGAATCTATTTCTTAAATAGCACTGACACTTACTAACTTCATGACTGTATGTCTATAACAGGATTATAGCTGTTAGCTACGAGGCACGTCATTTTGGAGTGACAAGAAGCATGCGAGGGGATGAGGCCAAAGAGAAGTGTCCTGAGATAAATTTGGTGCGAGTCCCAGAGGCACGTGGGAAAGCCAACTTGACGCATTATCGTGAGGCAGGGGCAGAAGTGATAGCAGTGCTGTCTCGCTTCTGTGACAATTGTGAGAGGGCAAGTGTGGATGAAGCATACCTAGACTTGACTGAAAACGTCAACATGTAAGTCTTGTGTGTGAACATAAAAAGGCCATCCCAGTGGCTGATCCAATCAAATCTCTTGAATCATAATATCCAGTGTTCCACTCTGTGATAAATGCATGCACATATTGATTTACAGGAGAATGTGCACAATGGGCCTAGATGAAATTGCAAAAAAGTCTGCAGAAACAACATTTCTGGAAGGTTTCATGGCAGATGAACAGGAAGGTAAACATGTTGATACTGATGCTTGGAGAGCTTCTCTCCAAAATGATGGGAACATTAGGAGGCTGGCAGTTGGTGCAATTATTGTATCAGAAATGAGGAAAGCTGTGCTAAAAGAGACACAATTCACATGCTCAGCAGGGATTGCTCATAATAAGGTTAGAGGCTTCTATAACCAAATGTTTTTTTGGTTACATGATCCCTTCTTCTGCAGGATATCAAGAATTGCTGAACAAAACAATATAAAACAAACAGAGAAATTTAATTTACCTCTCAAAAATGAGCTATTCTCTGCTAGGTTCCAACCTAAAATAGATTTTCCAATTTTATTTCTGAATTCAGAACACACAACCCTTTGCTTCAACCCTTTTGACAAGTGACCAAGACATAATTTCCCCTTACAATATCAATACTACATCAACCAGAAAAGTAATTAGAATAAAGCAAAATGTCAATTAGAGAATTATCAATTGACTAGATACCAAATTCTCCTAGAACAAACATCACAAGAGTTAATTACGTGGCAGACAGTGCGGAGAATTACTAATGAGATCTGGTAGTGAAAGGGTATCCTAAAAGCATAGAGATATTGGAGAATTCTATTAATAGCATCTACACAGAATATTTTGGCCATATTTTGATTGTCTGGGGTATATATTTTTTTAAGACATGGAGGATATTCTACTGTTTCTTTACAGTTTTCCTTGCTTCTTTTTTTCTTAACCCTTTTCACCCTAGCATCAGCATGCATAATATTATTCTCCATACTTTTCTCTATACTTTTCTGATGGTTCTGAAAAGGAGAATTAGCCAAACAATCAGCAGTTCATGAGTGGAAAATCATTTTCATTGTACTCTTAACCTCACTATTTGATTCAGAGGTGATACTGTGAGGATGAGATAGATTCTTTATGACTCTCAGAAAATTGATTTGCTTCTTTTGTTGACCTGTGGATTGTTATTTATCATCAACTGCTATCAACAATCAATGTTGTTTTTTTCATTATCAGATGCTGGCAAAGTTATGTGGTGGACGTCACAAACCAGATAAACAGACTCTTCTACCCCAGAGTGCAGTGCCAAAGTTGTATGAAACCGTTCCCATAAAAAAAGTGTAAGAATTGAAATGCTTACATATGCTAGATGTGAATTTAGTCATTGTTATTTGAGTTGAAATGTACATGTAGTAACAAATTCAGGGAGAAGAATTCCTATCCTTTGTAGTTGTAAATGGGAGGTGGGTACTTTTTGCTAACACTAGGATGTGAATGGTAACTCCCCCAGATCTTAAAACTCACACTGCACCCTTGTTTCAGCCCCTCACATAAATTCCCTTTTCCTGCCTGCTGCAGACCACTCAGCCAACAACCTCTGGTGTATCTGAGTTGTAGCAGGCGGTGCTTGAAATAATACATAGGTTAATTTGGTTGGAACTTTTTATTTCTTCTTCTGTGTCTGGCATAAGGAATGAAATGACAATTCAGAAGCAGAATGTAGCCATTAAGTCACTTCAGGCTTTTCTCTATACAATTCTTCAGCGCCCAGTTGTTTGAAGGCCGATCAGGGCTAACCCAGTGTTAAATTTTAATCCAGGTCTCTTTATTTCTTTGTTCAAAAGTCTTTTAGGTTAAAGTTTCCCCATTCCTTTCTAGGCCATTCAATGATCAAGTTGCAAGCAAAAATATTTGAACTGAATTTTCTTTTAAAGCCTTCAGAACTGTAATCAAATTTCACACTAACCCTGGGTTGTCTTAACCCAGCTTTGAACAACCCAGGCCAGGGCTCTCAATAAGTGCTGTAGCCTGTTATACCTGTTATGGCTGGGCTCATTTGATGTTAAGAATCACAATGTTGATTGCAGTCTGTTTCATTTGGGCAAGGTTTAGACTGCTGTGGGTGAAATCTCCAATGTAACAGCTTCAAAATTTATTGACAGCCTTCCTCATTCATTTAAAATCCTTAGCATCTTGTTGAGCATGGGGACTTCCCTCGGAGGATTTTAAGTTGAAATTTTAAATATGGTAGTCACTCCTAGGTGATAAAGACTGTTTTTATATATTGCCATTGAGTTTTTTCAAAGATGACAATACATAATGTAATTCTGAGGGAGATTCCTTCTATTTGTGAGAAGCATTTTCAAGGAGTTCTCTGTTCTTAATGAAGAATTCCATTTTGTTGCATTAGTAGTTAACACAGCAATCAATGTTTTCAAATTAGGAATTTTGTTTTGTGTCTTTATGTATTGCCACCTGATGTAGAAGACCTTTTGAAGTGTCAATTTAGTCACTATGTTGTGAAACAGTCATACATTTTCGATTAATAATGATAGCGATTTATTGAATTTATTTGATGCATTTGCAGCCGTAATATGGGAGGCAAACTTGGCTTGGAAGTGCGCTCAAATTTACATGCAGAAAAGATGAGTGATTTGGCCAACTACTCCCTTAGTGAGTTACAGGGTCGTTTTGGAGATAAGACAGGGTAAATATTTTTGCCTAATACATGTACATGTAAAAAAACGAAAACAAATGAAATGCAACTTAACATGTTACAAAGTGGGTAAGTTTAAGAAGCTGACGATTCGAGCGTTTGCGCTTCGTCAGAGCGAATGGAGGAATTGTGGGTTGTGTGCTTGTGTGTTTATGGATAGAAATGGAGCTACACTATTGGTGGGAATATGGTGACGAGAAAACAAGAATAAATCAGCGCTCGTTGATACCGTGGGGATTAAGAGTGCCATCATTATAAGCAGCATATGGCAGTTTGCGGCCTTTCCCTACATCTAGGTAGTCCGGAAAGCCGCAAAACTTTAGAACAAAAATTTATCTTTCAAATCGGCACTCTTAATCCCACGGTATCAAACAAGCTTGTCGTAAAAAATTTAAGACTTTTCATTCCTCTCTGCTTTCTCAATTGTCATTTGCGTTCTTTAAGAAAATCTCTTAATTTTTCTTTTGATTGCTAGGGAGTGGCTGTCTGAAATAAGTCGTGGAATAGATCACGAACCTGTTAGGCCTCGACAGCTGCCGAAGTCTATCGGCTGCGGCAAAAATTTCCCCGGAAAGGGGAAGCTTTCAACAGGAGAAAAGGTAATTTATTAATTTTAAGAAAACGTTTTTGAAAACCAGTGATTCATTAGTAATGATAAATTTACAAATTTCATCAATCTGAGTAGCTTGCAGGGTGCGAATTGGTGACCAGCTGAAAAGTGACTGTTGGTGACCAAGCCTTAAACATGAGATATGTTAGAGGTTTCGTCTGATTTTTCTTTCGTTTTAGGTAAAATACTGGTTGGATCAGCTGGCTGGTGAACTCCACGAGCGTCTCACAAAAGAATCAGAATTGGTAAATAAAAAAATTATTCTTCATATCGTCTGTCCCAACATTAGTTAGATAAACAAAGTTGTTTTAAACAATTTCAGTTGATTGTTGATCGTCATCCGCGTTTACATTGACTTTGTTTTGCTTTGCTCTTTAATTTGTTTAAAAACTTACAAACAGTACGATTCAAAATTGAAAAACCAATCGCGGTTTGATCTCCTGCGATTTACGTGCCTCAAGCAGTCGGCTTTGCGTTCGCTTTGGCTCGTGGTGATATTGCCTTTGTTCGGATTGGACAACGTGTTATCTTTTGTCATGGTTTACACGGAGCGGTTGGTTTTATCGTTGCATTTTCCTGGTTCTCGAGAGTGGAGCGAATTTTTCGGACAAATCTCGAAGCAGTGTGAAGCAAAATCAAAGCAATCCTCTTTCTCTTGTGAGTTATTTGAAAATTGCAGAGGATATTCTGAGCATAAGAGTTGCAAACCTAAAATTTTTAGTTAGGTCTCCTATCATCTTGCCCACGCTTTAAATTTTATTCATCATTTTCCCAACAGAATAATCGGGAGGCCAAGTTATTGGGTGTCGGCTTCAAGACTGAGAATAACTCCTCCGCTACTCGTTCTTGCCACATGAAAAATTCAACTGCTGATCAAATTGCAAAGGACCTTTATAATATGCTGTTGCCATTCAACACTTTAAAGGAAAACAAAACTGATGCATGGTGAGTAAAAAATTAAATCATGCTGTTTATTTATTTCTTAACCATTTTGCGAACTGTCAATAGTTATCAGGGGGAGCGGTGGGTAAGGATCAGATGGTTTTCAGGGGGAACGGAGCTGGGAATCAGTTGTCGCCAACAGAGTATAGAGTGGAATTATCGAAAATTGACCGCCAATGGAGTGGGGTGGGGATCACGTCAATTTTATCGTGACATTTTACTTTTAAGAGCCAATGAGAACTCGAAAAAGCGCGGGAAAACGCAGGCGTGATAGGTGATTGGTTGAGAGAGTGGCACGAGTTTTCTAGACCAATCACAGATCGAAGTAAAGCAAAATCGATGCAATGTCGCATAACGTTCGATATTCAATTTAAACTTGCTCGAAACAAGCAATCAAAATCAAAGTTTCCACACAAGATATTTGGCTTGATGGAAGTATCTTAAACTCTTTAGGTATCCAGCTATTGTCACCTTACACGTGTCAGCCAGCAAATTTGAAGAAATAAGTGATCATAACAGTACGCCGTCAATAAGCTCATTTTTCAGTAAGAAAAACAAGTTGGAAGAAGCGGAAAATTCAGCGGACAACGTCATCTCTGAAAACGTGGAGGACGAGTATTTATGTGGCGTGAGTTTAGATGGAAACAAGGGATGTGATGGAACTTCTGCTTCTGGCAGTGTGGTTAGCCAGAGCCAGCACGGGGAAAATTCGTGTTACGGAATTCGGAGATATGATAATAAAGAAGACAAAGATAATGAGAAAAAAGTGGATGAATCAAAGCTTAGTGGTAGTAGCCTATCAAAAAAGAAAGGCATAGAGGTGTTTTTATCAGGAAAGAATATATGTGAAGAAAAGCAGCAAAATAATGAGAGACGATCTTGCAATCCCTACCTAGGTTGCCAGATCGATTCTTCGGTGTTAGAATCTTTACCACAAGAAATTCGGCAAGAGATTGAACGGTCACTGTTGAAAAACAATCAGCAAGATGAAAAGAGGAGAGGAAATCCTTCATTCTCTGATTCAAGGGTGTCCACCAATGAAGTACAAGGAAGAAAAACATCAAAGAATGTCGCGATTGCTGGTGGGTCCGCCACTGGTGGGACCCGCGCGAATCTTTGTAACCAAGTAGACTGGGACAAAACAGATTTGTGCAAATGCGAGAAATGTGGGGAAACGTTTCCAGAATGCGTCATGCCGGAACATTTAGACTATCATTTTGCGTTAGAGTTGCAAAATGGAGAAAGCAACTCTTCCGTGACTTCAAATTTAGGGAGCTCGACAAACGAGCCTCCGAAGAAAAAGCAACGCGTTACAATTCAGTCTTTTTTCACGTCTAAATAGTTTAAGTGAGCGCTTTTCCTCGAAGGGCTCAGGTCCAAGTTTGTTCAGTCTCTTTCGCAGGCGTAGGCGTTGGTTGGTCTTGCCACGCAACGGGCGTTGCGTGACGACACTTAACATTTGCTGTGAAGTAGACTGCAGAAAGATTGAACCCAAATGTTTGACTATGCCTGTTGTTTTTGTTTTTTTTATTTTCCACGACTGTAGTGTTTGTAGTAGACTATCATTTCTAGGTTTCTTTTGTTTGAATTTAATTATTTATTGACACTTAATAAAGAAGAACCGAAATATTGCTACATAGCACCGGGATAAACAAAAGAAAGTATCTGTTGTTTATTTTGTCATTCTTACCTTTTTTTGTTTTGTTTGGCAATTACTATTATTATAGTTGTTCGTTTTTGTGTTGCATCCTTACGATGCCCTAAGAAGCAAAAACTTTTGGAAGCTAAATTCTGTCCAGTTCGTGTGTTATCCCTTCGTTAACAGTGGAAATAAACCCTCGCTTTATTTTTGCTACGTGTTCACCCCTCATTTAGGAAATATTGAGACTAGTTTCTCCTCCTCCTGCTTCCTCCTTCCAACACCCCATGCCACCCCCCTCCCCCACCCGCTGGGAAATAAAAAACGTGAAATACTGATTGGCGTGTCTCTGGTAAACTATACTCAGATAACAGCGAAAACAAAGTAATCACTTTTTGCTGAGCACAAAATAACTTTATTTTACCCTACTTTAACTTGGCTTTATCCTACGTTTGTTTTCCAACTAACTGCACGTACATTTTTTATAAAGTGTCATCTATGTGTTTTGCTGTTGTACAAAGCTTATTCCTACCAACTCAACTAAACCCTATTTATGTACAAAAACCTTAGAAATCACTCTGTATTGTTTTAACGTCACACTGCACGTACATTTTTTACAAAGGTTCATCTGTGTCTTGTTGTTGTACAAAGCTTATTCCTTACCAACTCAACTAAACCTTTTAAATGTACATAAACCTTAGTAATCACTCTCTATTGTTTTAACGACACACGTATTGATTAATTAATGACTGTAAGCTACTGTCTACAATAATGAATGTGGAAAAGGGAGGTATGTGGTATTTGAGCAGATTCTTGCTAATTTAAAAATAATTATCTAAAGTGAGTCATCTTTCATCATTCAAGACCATTTTAAGGTTTTTCAGTGGAAAATGTCGTTCAAATCTCCTCCTGGAAGATAATCACATATATACTTTTTTTACCTTGCTCGCGAGTCAATCGCGATGAATGCTTAACAAACGTAGGAGAACTATCTGATTTACGTAAGTAAAATGAGAGAAACAGCCTTGACAAAAGTTGCACGGAAAATATCATTAATCTGAAGTAAATCTTTCAGCGAAATTTGTACCAAACTCGTTGGTTGCTTATCTCAAAGGGATTTGAATGTGAATCAAACTGGGTTTAGTATTTGATCAAGATAAACAGCGCATCACACGCAGGATGTGTTAGTCGTGCTCTAATTTCAATGAAGCATCATAAATAAGGAATCAAAGTCGTCATTGAAGCTGTCCAGAAGAAAGGTTAATATTTTGAAAAGCCAGTGAGAACTCGATGTGGAAAACGTTAGTGGTCAAACAGTTGGTTTTGTTGGTGGAGAGAATGGTTTGATTTCTCGCAACCATTCATAGAGCAATTTTTTTCTTTTTTTTTTAGGAAGGATTATCAATTTACAGTGAAAAATGGAAATATCACACTCGTACACACACAAACACACCCACACAAAGAAATGAAAACCATGGCCTCGAACAGAAACCCGCCATTTCTTGCACATGCAATTTTTTTGTAACGACGCGTGATACGAAACAAGGGAATGTCCTTAATGATTACTCGATTTGAATATTTGCAATCCGTGGCAATTTTCTCCGTCCTTAACCGTCTTGCCCAACTAATATTTTCCACTTTCAGGTTGAAGCTAGCTTTGCACGTCAGAAAATAGTTACGTAATACATCGTGTTGTTACTCTCTTGAATAGGAAGCTATAGGGGTCACACTAGCTCTGTCGTATCTAAAAAAGCTCAGATGATTATATCTCAGATATAGTGAGTTCACCATTGTGTGGGGACGCAGTGGAAATCCTTAGCCATTCATGTTCCATCCCAGCCGAGCACATCGATTTTTTCTGCAGCTTCCAATATTTGATGATTTGTCTGATGTGCTTCTCCCTCAATTTCATCTTAACTTCGAGCACGCGCTGGTTAAACTCTTCCACTAGGGTCTGCATTTCTTCTTGAAGCTTTGCTTTATGGCTCTCTTCGAAGAAAAAGTAGTGATTTTAATTGCTAGTTTTGTTGCTTCAGATGAGCCTATTTTTCATTCTTTTCGGTTAAGGGACCAATACTTTTTTTATCGCATGGAGCGGGGAGGGGGGGAGGGGTGAGACAGAGATTTTCGGACAGGGTCACATGGTCTTCAGAGGGAATGGGGAGGGGAATCAGTCGTCGTCAACAGAGTATAAAGGGGGAGTATAGAAAATAGACTGCCACCTAACCGTCCATGAGGGGATGGGGAAGGGGGGGTCATAAGATTATAAGAGAGCCATATATCAGGTAAATTTTATCGCGACACATATAAAATCCTCTGACTCCCCCAGAGATAAATAATGACCAGTCTGTTACATTTGTTTGTTTGTTTTGTGGTAAACGAGGACGACTTTCTTCAGTTTACTTTGCGACATGCAAAGCGAAATCCCTTTTGGTGTTCCGAAAAATATTGAAAATTAAAGTTTAAAATTAAGAGTTGCCTTTAAGGGCAGAAGAAGATATCGTTATCCTTACTTTTTTGGTGAACTTTTCGCCTTGCTCTTATACGACGAATGCACTCGTATATGAGCGACAGGACAAGGGCAATTCCTAACGACACGCATGCGTATTTCAATGCCTTTAGGAAGGTGGGAGAACCACTGTCCAGTAGACCGCCTGATGCCTCTTCTTCGGGCGTTTCCTTGGCGCCAGAAGTCTGGAGTGAAACATAATGAAACATGTTTAAAATGGAACCTGGATTAAGCTTGCACTAAGATACATTGCTCTCCCTTCTACTGTATGAAGGGATAGGGTGTTTTCTCAATACAGAGTACGCTTGAAAGAAACCTCCAGTTTGCAAAAAAAGAAAAAGAAAAAAAAGGTTGCGAAACTATCAAAAATAACCTTTTAAAATTGGCCTGAAGGGGAATGAAGTATTTCATGCTAAAAAAAACATTGAAAAAGACATCGTCATCGTTATCGTTGTCATCGTTGTTATTATTACTGTTGAGTCGGTTCGGAGCAAACATAAATTCTAGTAAAACGTTGGGTGAAATGAAAGGTGTGGCTATACCACACGCGACAAGGGGCAGTTCTTATGAGTGATTTCCTATCTCGGTTAAAATATCGCCTTTTAGGGACTATTCTACGCTTTTCAATATTTTATTTACCTTCGGATGTATTATGTTAAGTATGTTTACCATAAAATGATTCTCCTAGAATTTCCCACCCTTACCTTATATCAAACTACAACAAGTAACCCATTAACCCCTAAGAGTGACTAACATCTAATTTCTCCTTACAAGATCACCCCTGAATCATGCAGTAAGGTTATGAGAACAAAGAAAATTATCAGCACCAAAAGAAGCTGTTGATTGTTACACAAATTCTCCTTGTCAGCACCATAAGAAATGTATGGGGAACAGTATGGAGGATACCTGTACTTATATTAGGGTGTAAGGAGTTAAACTAACAGACTCAATGTTGCCGGGTGTTTGTTCAGTGTTGCATCACAGATGACGTTAAAAAGCGGGAAAAAAAAGTTTCACACGAGGCGCAGCTGAGTGTCAATGATGTCGTTATCACATCTTGACGTTTTCTCTGATCAACAACGGAACAGACCTATGGTACCATGGAATCCAATTGTTTTAAGACATTGTTAATAGTGGCGTCATAAGCAAGAACCAGTCAAACTGCGTCCATAACCCTTTACACCCTAACGTCAGTATAAATTTTCTCCATACTGTTCTCTATATATTTCCTATGTTACTGACAAAGAGAATTTGTTTAACAATCAAGAGCTTCTTTAGTGGGTGATCATTTCCTTTGTTCTCATGACTTCAATCTTTGTTTTTACTGATTGGAGAAAATAGTAACTAATCACTCCAAGCGGTTGAAGGGATAATTTAGTTTATCAAGTAAAAAGGGATGAACCGCAACTCAAAGAGCTTTGCTTCGATTCTTATGCGACTATCTCTTGCTCACCTCAATCGGCTTCGCTTTTCTTTTGATCATCTCGAAAATCTCCGCTCTGTGAGAGGTTAAGTAGCGCTCGAAACACTTGCCAAGTTGGGTCACATTAGGACTGAGTACCACGCCGTATGCGGTCTTGTAGTCAAGGATCTCATTGACTTGTAGCCCGGGGCGATTGAAGAGATCGCTTCGCAAGCCCGCAGAATAAGTATCCACCAGAATCCCTTCGACTTCTCTGTTCAAAAGTGCCTCCGTTATGTCATCGACACCTTTATATTCTTTACCTTCAAAGTGAAACAAAAACATATGGTGTTTAGTTATTTGGTGAAGGGGTCGGAAAGGGAGTGCTTTGTCGTGGGGGGAGGGGGGGGTAAATGCAATTTCTTAATGAACAGGGCGGTTCTCTAGTCTCGTATGTTGAAGAGAAAGGAAACAATACTCATGCTACATGGTGCTTCGTAACTCTTTGTGGCCTCAGATCAGGTGACTTGTGTTTTGTTATAAAAAAAAAAACTATTATTTTATTTACGCTCACGTTTGATCAAAACTAAACTTGAATGATTTTTTTAATTTATTTTTTACGATGTTAGGGCCCAATACGTAGAAAGTTGTTTTGAAATTTCTCCGCAAAAGAGACAAGTTCTCCTGTAATGGAACACGTTGAAATTATTTGCCGAAATTTCCACTTTCGAACTCTACAATCCGATTCAATCTTTTTCTTACGTTACAATTTTGTCGCAACATAATTTTTTTGAATCTATTCTTAGCTTATTCTTACTCCTACGTAAATTAAGTAAGTTGGAAAGTTTACGAAGAACAGCCAAGTAAGTAAGATTGGTGAAAACTTGGTAGCTAAACACATGGCGCGCTGGACTCTGGGTTGAAAAGTTCGTGTTTGTGACCTGTTGGGATCATTGTGGTGCCTCTTTCCACACTGAAGTGCAAATACATACCAGCGAACCGTAAGGGAAGGTCAATGAACTTTCGAAGGGGGGGTGGGAGAGGGGGGGCCTGCGATGAACACGTTACCCATCCCATATCACGGTCTACATTTTATCCGATATGTATAGTTATTTAACTTTGTGATAAGGTACCTGGATCAATCTTAGCATTTCGTCTCGTTGCCACGTTATATTCGGGAGAATTGAACTCAGCTGCGACCTGAAGAAGATTAATACCATGATTCGTTAACTTTGTTTTTTATAGGGATGGTATCCTAGTGGAACTATAGAATAACAATAGGTATCCGTTTTGCACTGTGTTTACTTTACTTTATTTCGCTTTGTGATCGGTTTAGAAAAGTCCTGCCAACCTCCCAATGAAATGAAGGCAGACTCAAACAAATCATCACTCAGTTACTTTGATTATTGAGTAACGTAACAAGAAGACCAAAATTATCAGAATGACCAATAGGGAGAGAGGAAAATGTTAACGGCCGATGACAACTTAAAGTTAGACCATGTGACTGGTTGAAGGGCGGGAAAATGCCGTTGACCAAGTTGTCATTGGTTTTGGTTGGATTAGAGGATTATACGATTTTTTAAAAATCAATCTTAGAGCATAATGATGCAAAATATCTAGTCACTGGCAGGAGCCCATTACTTGGCTCCTGTCAGTGTTTTCTATGGTCTCCTAATTAAGAATCTGTTGAGACTAGTGGTTCAGGCTTTCAACGCGCAGCTGAAATTTCCTTATTTTATTTTACGAACTACCTTTCCTGCTCTCCTCAGAGTTGCGAACGGCAGAGAAAAAGTGATACTAAAAAACGATGAGATGCTCGAACGAATCTTTATCAGCAACCTTTTCAGTTACGATAGGAAGCTGTATGTATCGGTGCGTTCTACATAAAAGGTTTGTCAAGAATGGGAAAGTCGCTGATTACCTTGCTTCCGTACAGCTTTATTTTACTCTGCAGAGTAATTGATGTGAGTGCTGTGGTGATCATTGCCATGGTTAGGGAAATGATGACTAGTCCAGTAAGTGTCCAAAGCATAGCAAAAGACCGTCCCTTGTGGCTCAGAGGGGCGCGGTCGCCATACCTAAGGAATTCAAGGAAAACCATTGCCATTACATTTAATTCTCTGCGCTAATTGGATTAATATTCTCCACCCCCCTCCCCCTTAGCCTTTTTTGTTCCCTCTTAGTTTATCATTGCATCTAGTAATAACATTTTTTGTCATCAAGTCGACCTCTCCTTCTATTTTATGGCACTTTTACTCGTTTATAAAGAGAAATGACAGAAAATTTTTGGCAAAGCCCCGTCGGTAATGAAATTGCTCGTTCATTGTTAGTTAATAAACTCGTGCAAGTAAATTCCAATAATTCGCTCGCTAAGTGCGTTAATCAGTAAATATACGCATGATTTCCCTAATATATATATATATATATATATATATATATATATATATAAATAATCAGCATTTGCAAATTCCTTCCTACAAATCTGGGTGCAGTTGCTCAGAAGTAGGATCATGATGGCGCCAATCCGAGATTTTTTAAAAAGTTTCATTTTGGATTCCTCCTCTATTTAACAAATAGAGAAGCCTTGACTGTGCTCTGTTCCGTTGTAAAGCTAGTGTGAAGCGGCTAGAGCACGAAAAAAGTGTAGGGAGAAACACGAGACGTAATGGAGTGTTTCTCCATGCTTTGCCCAACTGGGCACCCTTCGCCCAACTGGGTCCAGGACTTTAACTCACCCAAGTGTTGTCATGGAAACGAACGACCACCAAATTCCTTCCCAGGTCCCAAGAAGAAACGAGGGTGGAAAATCTTGTGGATTATGTCTTCTTTCCTAATGGATGTATGACAGAAAGCAAATCACTTTACGTAATGAACGGAATTATACCTGTACGCTCGATAACTAAGAACTAACTGAATCCAAGATAGAGGAAACAAATTGTGAAAAAAACTATTTTTTTGAACCCACCAAAACAATAGTTTACGCACCGGAGCTGTACTGGGTAACAATGCACAGAACCGGATTATCGGATTATCCCAAATGTCGGTTCAATCTTTTAACACCTGTAAATGTTTTTTTTTTCTATGTTTAACAATACCCTACGCCCTCCCCGGCACCGGATAGTGATGATTTCCTTGATAACCGTAATTTGGTCCCGTCACGCAACACATCAGCTTCCTCTGAGAGAGTGTTCCATAACAAAACACTATTAGAAAACGTGAAGAGTTAGCTTTAAATTTTACTCACCAAACACCATATCAAGACACCGGCGATGTAAGCTAAAACTATTGGCAAACTCATAACAGGTAAACAAAGAAGCACTGATTGGTACATAGTGTTCTGGTTTTGCGTCGTGTCTGGGTAAACAATAAAAGCAACACCAGCGGACTCGATGATTGGCGCAAAGCCGTAGCCTCCTTTATAACTGTCTTGTTCTTTGTAACCAGAAACAGGGAAAGTAAAATCAGTGGTTTCGTCCAAATTTTGTAGGAGATCCATGTAAGAATGGCGCTCCGATGTGTTCGATCTGCCGTTGCGTTTGAAGTCAAGTTTTACCTCTCCGTAACTCTGGCATTTTCCGCAACATTCCTGGACCATGGAACGAAGAACTACCGGGATGATCTCACCAGGTTCATTGTCTTCTGTGAAATTAACATAGGGTTCGTATCGCCTCCAACTTGTCGTGAAATTTTGTTCGCAATGACAAGTTTCTGAGTGGAAAAAGGAACAAAGGGAAGAAAATTAAGGGGGGCTGTTGGCGCTAACGGTGAACTTTTTGTAGTAACAGTGTGATTGCACAGAAGAACGGTTCACGGTGAATTGTTTAAGTTTCAGTTTCGTGTTATATAAATTAAATGCTTTCAGCGTTTTGGGAATGAAACGAGTGATCAAATGGCTCGAAAACTGTGTTCGGACGTGATCACAAACCAGTCCTTTCTGATTTGTTTCCTTGTAGTTTTATTTGTGACGTTTTGAAAATAATAATACTTAACACCCTTATCATGAGTGGTATTGATATTCTCTAAACGTGTTATATGAAAATGCGCCCTTTTTCAGCCAATCAGAAGTGCATAATTTTTTCATGTACATTATTAGAGGGTTAAGACCAGCTATTATCGAATAACTTTCGAGAAACGAGCCCCTGGAGATAGTGGAAGAGAAGGGCGCTACGTAGTTGATGTCTCAACGCTTAAATCATCATGATTTTATCTTTATTTTTTATTTTATACCCTGCATGCTTGAGCATGAGTAAAAGAAGGGTGACAATCAGTTTCTTACCTCCATATGAAGCTGACGTTCTGGGGCCCAGTCCTTTCTTCGTCTCGGCAGCGACGGTAATCTCGTACTCAGAATAAGGGTCGAGATTCTTTAAAGTCCACGAATTTTCTTTATCTGTAGAGACGGACCCAACAGGTTCAAAATCTATTGGTACACCTCCAATCTTCACTCGCTGATACGTCACTTGATAATCAACTAAGTCTCCGTTCATGTACTCTTCGGGGACTGGTTTCCAGGATACTTTGATTTCGTGTGGGGAGACTGAGCTGATAGCAGTTAGGTTTATAGGAGCTGCACTGGGAACTAATGAGAAAAAAGATTTGGTCAGGATGTAGAAATTCTTTCAATCTTGTTGTCTGAGCAGCACTTTATGAGCATCGTCCAGATAATGATAGATGGTAAGATATGTTTATCCTTATCATTTATTTACTCGTTTACGAATGCCGGTTTATGAAATATGGAAGAATAAATTAAAGAATCCTCATATCAATTAAGTTTTTACGAGAAATCCTTTTAACTGAATGCTATAAAAACTAAGTTTAAGGCATTAATAATTTCTAAGTACATCGTTACCCATTTCTCCATTACCAGTTTTGCGTTTCTCGTTTTTCGTTTCTCGTTTTTCTTTTTTCGTTTCTCGTTTCTCGTTTCTCGTTTCTCGCTTCTCGTTTCTCGCTTCCTATTTCTCGTTTCTCGTTTCTCAATCCCCGTCCTTTTCTTTGTCCTTCAAGAGCATCGAGCAGAAAATGGCCACACCTATATGTTAATTTTTATGCTATTTGCCAATTTAGTTGTTAATTTACCGTGATGATTCGATTTAGCGCTCTCCTTCCAATAGGCGCCCCCTCTCTGATACGGGCCCTCCCCTCGAGTTTGTTTTCGTTAATAAGCGCGCCTATTCTAATAAGCGCCCCTATTCTGACAATCACTCCTATTGAGTAAGCACCCTCATTCCAATAAGCGCCCCTATTCCAACAATGCCCCAATTCTGTTTCAGTACTATTTTTGTTAGAGTGCATGAACGTTGAGGTCAACCGTGTTCTATCCTCCTTTAACAAAAAGTGGTCCTTGTCTCGGTCTCTCAACTATCGTGTCGCCGTAGGTGCACAGATCCATCAAACGAAATATTCCGTCTTAAAATATTGCGACGATTTCTTGGCTATTGGTTCTAGCAAGGGAAGGATCCAGGGACGACAAGTCTGTTTTCCAGTCTAGGTGGTCCGTAGTTAACTGAACATCAAAGGTTTGTTTCACATTCTGCTGTTTCTCGAAAAAGAAATAAGTGGGCTGTCCAACTAATCGCCCTGTCCCAATATGCGCCCTGTTTCGAGTAAGCGTCCTCCCTTGAGGTACTAAAAGAAATTAGGCGCCCCGAGCACTAAATTTAATCATTAGGGTATTTGAAATTACGGTTAGGTATGGGGATATGTACAATGTTCCACCGTTTTTCTGTCTCTCCCCTCTCGTCCTCTGTCCCCTGTCCCTTGTCCCGAGTTACCGTTCCCCATTCTAACATTTAATCTACGGACTTACAATCATCGCTCGTCTTGAATGTTTCAATGAATAGCGGGCCGATTCCTGCTTTGGTATACGCGGCCACCTTAATCGTGTAAGTCGTAAATTTTCTCAGCGATTTGAGAATATGAAAAGTGAAGTTCTCATTTAACTCGTTTACTTTCGGAACTGCAGTTTTGTTTTCTTCCTCAGGGTGGTACTCTATGCGGTAACCCTTTATTATGCCGTTGCGGAAACGTTCGGGAATTGGATTCCAAGTGATGGAGACTGAAGAAGATTCCAGGATTTCCACTTTAACTTCTGGCTCTTTTACAGGCACTGAGTGAATACAAAAAAAAGTCAAGTCATCGAAACGTGTTTAATTGACGTTAAGTTAACACTAAAACTTAAAAAGAAAAAAAAAAAAAAAAAAAAAGAAGGGGTATTTCGAAACTTTGGCTTCGTGTCAATCAAAGGTAGACATTTCTGGGCCCTTAACCACTTAACTCTCAAGATCTGATTGTCAATTCTCCCCTCTAGCTGCTACACATTTCCTTACAAAGTAGTGAAGAGAAGTTGGCGTCAGAGCAAGATAACTTCCACCTGATAAGTTCGAGTATTCTCGTTACCTGTTTACTGAATAATGTATGGATACTTTGGGGAGTTAATCACTTGTGCGAGTCAACTAAGGCCAATTAAAAGAGAGA